CTGCGATCCCGCCGAAAGTGGTACAACAAGCTCCCCAGCTAGCACAAGCAGCATTTGGCGCGTGGTATTGGCAAACGCGTAATTGGCACTTGTCGGAAGCAAACTGCAACCATATATGCCACTGCTGTTGGTAGTGACGGCGCTCAAGTCCTTGGTGAGCGGCCAGTTCATCTTGAACGTGGTCTGCTGTCGGAGGCGGTAGGTGCCATTCTGGGCTTGGAGCGTGAACGCGTATTGGTGCCCGTAGGCATTCTGAATCGTGTACGCGTTCTGAAGCCCAATGAGCTTGAAATTCTGCCACGCCGGCGTAAAGTGCGTCACGTTCCAGCGGCGCCAGTAGGCAACTTCGTCTAGAATCGAAGTTTGAGCGTCAATCGTATTGGTGAGCCAGCGCCGGCCTTTGTTGGAGCTTTGGAGGTCATTTCCAAAGGCGACAGCAAAGGCGTCGCCCCAGCACGCGAGCCAATCGACCCAAACCACGTTGCGCAAGATAGCTTCTACATACACGGCAGCGTTGTCGACATACGTGGCGCACCGTTCCTGCCGAGCGAGCGAGCTCGCCAGCGCCCAGGATCGATTGGCGTCCAGGTAGCAGTACGACGTTGCGAGAAACGGTACGCTGCAAGCACCCATGTGTCGCAGCGCCGAGATGGCGCCATCGAGCGACGTCGCTTCCGTGTATTGTAGTCGCGCGCCGTACAGCAATGGACCAGAAATCACCCCCCGCGGACCGTCAAAGCTACCTGGTTGCAGTAAGAAGGGTGCGTCCAGTCGGAGATTGCCCGCGGTGACGCCAAGTACGAGCTGCTGGTTGAGCCAGTTGGCAAAGCACGTGTGGATGCCGTCAATGCTAAAGCTAGCCCACTTGAGGTCGTTGGCGAGGTTGACGCTGGCCACTTGCAAGTACGAGACACTGCTAGCGATCGAGACGACGACGTAGCACATACCAAGCAGCGTCAGCCCACGGTGAAAGTTGAATGGCCACTTGGGCGGACGGCGCGTCCAAGTGAGTTCCCTAGATGTTTTTTGAAAGCGCAAACGAGGGGGCCGCAAAAGGTGGGTTGAACCGTCATGGCAGTACCGTTCCTCCTCAAAGACGCGCCAGAGCCGCAAATCAAAGACATACCTTGTGCCGAGAACGCGCAGCGGAATCAGCGCGCATAGCACGGACGACACTTCGTCCATGGACCACGAGGTGCGCGGATGCCACGAGGTGAGAACGCCACTCGACGTCGTCGAGAGTAAAAGAGGTATCGCGTGCGATGGCACTGGGTGGTAACGACGCCATATAAGTGTCAAAAAAAACGGCCGAGTGCACTTGCCGCTTGTATCCAAACGAGTGTCGTGAAGCGGTCGTGGCTACCGACATAGATGGTACCCGCCGTACACGAGACAGCATAGTCCATGTCGTGGCTGATGCAGTTGCGTGAGAGGTCACTCGACAAAAGTACTGGATGTTGGACCGACAAAGCGATTGTAGATGCCCACGCCAGAAGGCTCGTTGCCCCTGCGTACGTGGCCGTTGCCGTTGGCGACAGGATCTGAAACACGTCGATGGCGACGTAGGCCATCCAGTTGGCCTCGCCCGCGACAAGTACAATCTGAAATAGCGATAACATCGTCGAGCACAGACGTGTAAAGGGCCCGTGACGAGCCAAGCTGGTCTGTGCCGAGCTCAAAAGAATGGCTGCGGTCATGCCGCGGAGAAGCATGATAGGTCGCCCGACATAACCTATGCCCACGACGCGGTTGAACTGAAAGAGGTTGCGACCGAGGATGCGAAAGCGGAGCCGCACACTATGGACGACGCAGAGAAGCGCCACGAGTGCGAGCACGGTGCTGGCGTACGCGGTCGTGTAGATGGCGATCTGTGACGCATTCTTGACAAAGCGGGTGTCACCGCTCGTTGGTATTTCTTGGGCGTCATAAGATGTCGAAATGAGCACGATCGAGGCTGCATCACCTTCCACCGAAAGCACCTCGCGCCGACCTTGCACCCAGTCGTAGAGCATGATCCAGCCGTAGACGGCAAACGCTGTGTCATCGAGCAGCGGCTGCTGCAAAAGTGACCACATTGATTGCGTCTCAACAAATTGTATAATTTGTGGCTGGAGCTTGCGGACACTCTGGGACGCGTTGTGAAAAGCGGAGGACGCCAGCACGCGCCCAATCTCACGCACGACATTTCCAATGCCTTGCAGCGACTGCTCTGGCAGCGCGGAGGCGGCAAAAAGAGCTGCCTCTGGACGCAGCGCAACGAGGAACGGGTGCGGCGTTGCGCACGCATCGTCAAAGTCGAACGGCGATTGCACATACTCCGTGCCGGGCATGTGCAAACACAAGAGACTGCCACCAAAGAACGTCGTGTGTTGCTGCCAATGCCGCGGCGTTGGTAGCTGAGCGTCGACGCTCGGAAGCGCCGTATATTTGGCCAAGAAGACACTGTCGGAGGCCAGTCGAGCGTACAGGGAGGCTTGAAATACATGGTAAATGTCACGCAGCGCTGTTGGCGGTGGAACATAGAAGGCGTCGATCGACAATAGCGGCCCGACAGAGCGGTGCACGACGCTCGTCTGGTTGTAGCAGACGCCACCAGCATTGCAGAGGCCGAACCAAGCGTCAAAGTCCACCGAAGTGTTGTTGACGAGACTCACGTTGAGTTGTGTGGCAGCCCACATATCAACAAATGGCAACCAAAAAAACACAATTGACGTCCAGGCACCTGCACTACGAGGCCGACTCTTGAGCGTCACCAGCTGCTCGTAGCCGAGAGCATTGGCAAGTGCAATGGTCTCGGAGATACCTGGCTGCCACCGGTTGGTCCACTGCAGCTGAAATGCATCGATGCCCACCGACGTCCACAGATCGTTTTCGGCTGCAATCGGCGTCGTATCGCGCGCTGTCGATGTGGTAGCGAGCCACTCCCGCCCGACGACGCTTGCCTCG